TAAACACATTTCATTACACCAAATACACAAAATAATGTTCTTTTTAGCAGCATCATATGACCCCTTTAATCAAAAGTGACAGTAAAGATGTTTATAATGTTACAAATGTTCCATTCATCAAAGAATCCTGGGAAAAAAAATGTATTAAGGTTTCTACAAAGATATTTAGCAGCACAACTGTTTTCAAATATTGATTATAATAAAAAAAAAATTATTGAGCACCAAATCAGCATATTAGAATAGTTTCTGAAGGATCATGTGATGAAGACTGGAGTAATAGCTGCTGAAAATTCAGCTTTGCATCACAGGAATAAATTACTTTTTAAAATATATTAAAACAAATTAGTTATTTTAACTTATAATAATATTTCACAATATTAAAATTTTTAACAATAAATGCAGCCTTGTTGAGCAGAAGAGATTTTTTTCAAAATTATTTAAAAATAAAATCTTACTGACCTTAATTTTTTTCTGTGGCTGTTGACAGCAGGCCACAGATGCTGTCAATATAGTTTAAGCTGTATTTAACTATGAAAGTCCAAATTTTTTTATTAAAAATCTCCAAAACTGGTCAATACAGGACGGAATTAGATACATATGACCAGTCCAGTCGAGTATGGTTGACTTATTTTATTGCATTTCAACTGATCGACTGTCCACACACCCTCATGATTTTGTATGAGGGACTGTCAAACATCACTATGACATTGTCATTGCATCACCAGAAATCTCAACTGCAGTAATGGGAAAGGGAAAGATATTTTGTGCATCTGGCCGAATTGCAGTCTGGGTTCAGTCATTCTTAAGCCTTGACTGCTACAGCGATGGCTTCTTCCCAGGACACTCCGAATATCCTTTCCGATAGTTAAAATGTTCCCTGACTGGAAAAGAAGTTCACGGAGTCTGAGCTAATCTGCGGCAAGCAGACTGTGAAGAAGAGAAAAGGCAGGACTTCCAGCTAAATAAATTTCGTTAGGGTGGTTAATAGACGGGGTGCCTCTATAAAGCTGTCCGTGGATGAGGTGGACAAGCTCAGGTAGCAATTTTACCATGCTTTCCGGAAGGGTAACTTCTTTTTTAAGCTCGGCAACAGTCTGGTTAATATCCACTGTGATGGGATTTGAGAAGCACTGTCAGGTACCCTACCATGGCAGATTCAGGTCTCTCTAAAATCACCCTTATAATAGCACACCTGTGTGATACCAGGCCAGAAAAGCACTTTCGATGCTCATAAAACTCATAAATAATTGCGGTCATGCTTTATGCTTATTTGTGGGTAGGTAATGTAGTAACGCAGTCAGTTACATCGTCATTTCACCACGTGCCTCTCCTCTCAGTTCAGTCTGATAGTTCTGTGGAGTGCTTGAGGACTGAAGACTTCAAATGAAGCGCTATTGAGGAAAAAAACAGGTCTGCTAAACTAGCTGAGACAATGTGGAACAAGAGACCACTTATGTCTGAGTCTTATTTACTACAATGCATGAATCCAGCCATTACGACTGCTGACTCAACCTGCTTGAGGCCCAGTATTTGCAGACTTTATCACGGTGCTGAAAGATGAAAAGAGCAAGTTACTGCCTGGCTTTAGATGACTGTTTCCTCAAACAAAATGTAAGGGCCTGTTTACCACCAAATCAACTGAAATAATGTGCTTGTTTTGAGTCCAGAGACTTTCAAGCATGCCTTTAGATTTATATAGGCAACATAATGTGTAAACAAATGTTAAGTTGCAATGTGAAAATTAAAGCACAACCCTCTACATTGCGAGTAAATCACTCGGGTAGTGGGCGGAACTAATGCACAAACGGCAATCTCATTGGCTGGTGCTCAACTATTATCGTCCCTGTTTTGATTTCAGCAAATCAGTTCGAGCGAACGCACACAACCTGATTAATATTCATGAATCCAGTAGCTCGTTAATCCTTGGTGCGTTTTATATTGTTCTTATTAGTAGAATTCGTATCATTATTATCTTATCAGTATTTTTTGTGTTTTTCCCCAATTTTACATTTTTTTACAGAAACACTGAATGACCAAAAAAGCACCACCACCAGTCCGAAGTTCAGTTAAAATGACTAATATGCATTCATACATGGTTGTCAAGTTTTCATTCTAATTGTTAAAGTTCTATCATTAAATAATATTGATTATCATATTATAATGCTTGACTGACTAATGTTAAGAGTGTACTTTCAGATATTTATAAAACTGTGCCAGTATATATTTATTTATTTATCAGTCTGACGAGTAAACTAAAAAATTTACTAGCCAATGGCGATTCAATTGCCAAGGTGATCGTAGAGGGCTGAAGCACGATTTCACATCAATTTTCTTTACTGTAATGCAAAAAATAAAAATTATTCAAAGGTTTGAGGTCAGTAAGACTTTTTAATGTTCTTGAAAGAAGTCTTGTATGCTTCCCATTTGTTTGATCAATATGATCCAAATCACAGTAATAACAATAATATTGTAAAATATTTCAGTTTAAAATAACGGTTTTCTGTTTCTTTTTCCTGTGATGTCAAAACTGAATTTTCAGCATCATCACTAATCACCAAATCACTCTAATATTTTGATTTGCTGCTCAAGAAACATTTCTTCTTATTATGAAAGTTGAGAAACAGTTGTGCTACTTAATGTTTTTGTGGAAACCGTTATACTTTTTTTTTTCAAGATTCGTTCGATGAAAGTTCAAAAGAACATTATTTGAAACTGGAATCTATTTTAACACTGTAAATGTTTTTTTTACTGTCACTTCTGATCAATTGAATGCATTCTTTAATGCATAAATAAAAATATGAATAAAAATAAATAAAAAAATACTGATCCCCAAACTTTTGAATGGTAGTGCATTATTTGCATTGGCATGTATATTAGGGTTATAATAACTGTCTATTGTTGGAAAAAAAGACTCCATTTCAGTAATGAGAAAAACCATTGAGATTACAGAAAGCATTCAAAAGTAAATCTGTATGCATTACAGAAATGAAGAATCGGGGGAAATATGCTTAACTACCATGAAAATAATGTCACACTGCAAAAATTTTATTATTTCTTCAACATGCTTTAGTGTCTTTATGCAAATTATAATTTATTTTGTATTTTTGGGGGGAGGAGTGGTGAAATGTGACAGAGGCATGTTTTTGAATGATTTAAAGACCTATAAAGACATACTGTACCACTTCCACGGTGATGGTAGATGGACTGTACCACCGACAGTAGTTAAAGAGTGCTGGGACGTACCATTGTGTTGAGCGTCCAGGTGGGTTTTCATGTTGCACAGTTCTCCTTTGATGTCTCCAGGCACCTCCATGCCTAACTTCTGATAGAATTCTCTCTGTTTCTTCATCTCCGCTGCACACAAGAGAGCAAAGAGGAAAAATTAAAGCCTTACTATTAAAATCTTACACATCATAAGCTGACAAACCTTCTTGCAGTCCTGGCACCAACTTATAGACAATATCTTGCATTGTTCGGTCATGGCTGAGGGAAGAGAGAAACAGTAATGAATATAATTTATTCAAATGTGAATTATTACACCAAGAAATGCACAAACAAGGACACCAAGAAAATTGCATTTCGCGTTTGCATTCGGCAGGCATGTTTCCTCATAACTATGATTGTTAATTAGCATATAGTGTAGTTCTTCCTCGTGTCTCTATATTCTCCTGTGACTGGCGGTTCCCAGGGCTCGGAGGTAAAACCTATTAAGCGTGTGTTGACATGTTCATCTCTGTGGCGCCTCTGGTACGGCTAACCGCCTCCGAGAACATGTTACCATGCCGCAAATCCCACGAGTGCCGGTTCCAAGCAGCCAACAGCCAAAACAAGCACCCACTTTGAGATTCACAGCTCTCGTCATGTTGCTTATACTTTCTAGGACACTGTAAATGAACTCTGGAAAAATCTGAAAAGATATCTGAAACTTTACAGACATTTAACTCCTTTAAATCTCATAAAACATGTTGAGAAGATTTACATAAGGACTTTAAAAAAATTGCTTGCATCGAGACATTATTTTCATGAAATTTAAGAACATTTATCCTCAAATTCTCATTACTGTAATTAAAGAAACGTAACAGTGGTATTAAAGCATTTACACTACTTTTCAAAAGTCAATAGAATCTGTAATGTTTTCGAAAGAAGTTTCTTATGCTCACCAAGACAGCATTCAAATCATTCTAATATGCCAACTTGGTGCTCAAGAAACATTTCTTATTATTATCAATGTCGAAAACAGTTGTGCTGCTGTTTTTTTTTTCAGGATTCTTTGATGAGAAGCAAGTTCAAAAGAACAGCATTTACTTGAAACATAAATCTTCTGTAACGTTATAAATATATTTTGTCACTTTTGATCAATCAAATGTGTCCTTGCTGAATAAAAGCAATAGTTTCTTTAAAAAATCTTCATGACTCCAAACTTATATGTCTATAAAGCATAATAAACATCAGTATATTTCAGTAAAAGGAATTCATAATTGTAATGAAAATAATGTCACAATGCAAAAACAATATGCAATTTATTTTATTTTATTTTTATTTTATTTATTTTATTTCTAGTTCAGTGTACAAGTCCTTGTGGCAGGTCAGTTCCTCTTAATAGCACATAATAACTCAGACCAGTTGGAAACTGATCTTAGATCTACACTCGTGCCACTTTGAGAAACCAGGCCACATTCTGTGTCAGAGTCCAGAGTAAGTTGCTGTTAGCTGATCTGCTCCCTGAGGACACAATGAGAGAGAAAGAGAGACAGAGAGATATCAGGATTGTGAGGCAGAGGAACACCTGTGTCCCTTGTGCACAGCCAGAGCCGCCACCTGTTCCCAAATCCCAGCAGCCTGGCGGGGAAGGTAGAGGTCCAATTAGCCGAGCTTCCACAGAGGGGGCCGGTGGGCCTGGTGGTGAGGGGGTGACTGGCATTTAGCTAGCTGATCAACAAAAGCTCTGTTTTGTGTGTGTGGGTGTATGTTTAGCAAGTACCAGAGAGAGCTGAGGATCAATAAGCTGCCAGTTAATACAGACAAATCCAGTTTTCATTCACGATCAAACAGTGTGGCTCGTAAACACCGGGGTGTTAAACTAAGGTCAGATTAATCATGCAGAGAGGGAGAGGAGCTGATTTGACGGCATACGACAATGTAACTGACCCCGAACTCTTATATTGTCTCTTCTTCTCATATCCCACATGGCTTTCATCTACCAGCAGGGCTGGGTCGACTCTTTTCCGCCCCATTCAGAAGGAAGCGCTTGTACCGTGGTGAATATTTAATGTGTTTGGAAAATGTTTCTCATCAGCGAGTGGCTGCAAGCTTCTATGCTGCTAAATGACAATTATGAAAGACCTGGCATCTGGCCCAGTGCACCAGCGGATCCATCAGACACCGAGGCACCGATGCTCAGGGGGCAGATGGACGCCACACCCCGACAGTTTACACACACCTACACACTACGCACATCTGCGCGTGTCTCTCAGCAGCAGTTTGTACTCACAGCATAAAAAGGTTAAGGCCTTTTCCTGTTGAAACAGGAAGTTTGAGTTGGAGATATAATTGCAAAAGGCTTGTTTGGTCAACTCTTTAAGAGTACACATGCATACAGATGATCTTAAAGGCTACAAGTCACATAAGATTTAAAAACATGATATGTATGATATGTAATAACCTGCAAGTTAAATTAAATTTTTTTTTAATTCACATTTTATGGAGCTAGTTGTGGTTGCTTACAGTCAAAAGAGTTCACATGTCTATGACCCTTTGGTCTCTAGATAAGTCTTTGCCTCTCCTTTTATGTAAGTCTATAGGATTTTTGTCTTATATTGCCTGCCAGGCAAAAATCATAACTCAGGAAAAAGTGTGATCACTTAAAGTAATAACTCTCCTCAACAAGCAGCTTTCAACAAACCATCAACCCTACGAATGAGCAAAAAAGTAAAAAAAAAAAAATGTTGGGGTCAGTGAGATTTTTAGTAGTTTTTACTGTATTTTTGATCAAATAAATGCAGCCTTGGTGAGTGTGAGACTTTTTTCATTTGTTTGTGAACGTATTTACAAAGTGCATTTTCTATGATGTGCCCTCTTTAAAACGACATAGCATGCTTCAATTGCTTATGCACAATGCCACCAGTGGTCACTTCCTTTCATGGCCACTTCATCTCAAACTAGAAAAATTGAACATCCAAAAAAGTGCAATATTCTGCACTGTCGTGATAAATAAACACCCTGTGATGGTTTAGCACAGCTGCTGCCCTTAAAATGACATCACGTGGAGCAATTCAGTTTTAGAAGTGCGTAAAACTTTCAGGTCACATCAGCAGATGTTTTCTCTGGGATGAGTGTGCTGGAGAGGAACGCTCCACCCTGGACATCAATAATTCACCCTCCGACAAAGACAGCTGGAGGGAGCCACGTCGCCTTCAAATACCCATGTGGCTGCACAACACGTAACTAACATGCATAGAAGCCAGCAGTCAAAGACTATGCTATTTACCGGTGTGCCTTGATGGACCCCTACTGGGCTGCTGTGGGGTTTACACTGATTGAGACGTGTTTGTTTACTGCGGTAAACTCTTACCCGATGTACTGCAGTGGATGGCTCTGGTGAATGACAATCCGACATGTGGGACACGTGTTGTTCTCTTCTAGGTACTTCACCAAACAGCTCCTGCAGACTATATGTACAAACACACAGTTTAGACACCTTTAAGTTGATTCATTCTGTACGCATCACATTATACATCACAATATTGATTTCCAAGAGACAAGAATGTCACATTGACGTGAATTTGTTTAAATGACTCAGCACAAACCCAGAGGCAAAAAAAAAAAAAAACTAATAGCCCTTCTAGTTTTATGACTAAAACTACTAAAGCATCATTTCAAAGGCTCTTGATCTGTGGCACAATGACTCCCTCTAGTGTTTAATTCAAAAACTAGCCTGACATGCTATATGTAATCTGATCTCATTTAATCTCATCCTTTTGCTGTTCAAACCACATAATTTTCACAAAAGGAGATTCTGAGTCCGATCCTTTTAATTAATCTGTCAATTCACAAAAACTGTTCTATATGATTTGTTCACTGATAATCTTCTCATTCAATCTGTTAATCACTGCAACCGCATCATTGAGCCATTGAGTTGAACTTGAATCAGTCCGATTCAAGAACAAATCATCATTGGGACCTGGTTTTGTGAACCAGATCATTCTCTGGAAAAGATTTGACTCCAACGAACAATTTGTTAACAAATCAGACATCACTACTACTCACCAATGAGATCTAGGTTAAATCAAGGTTCCATTTAAATTTAAATTTGGGTCTGTTTGTCAAGTTATCATTTGGCTTCAAAAGACTTGGAATATAGTCATTTGGAGCACTTTTTTTTATTTTATGTCAATTTATGTTCTTTATAGTGACAAGAGTGGGCAGGATGTTCCTTAAAGGGGTCATATGATGCAGCTAAAAAGAACATTATTTTGTGTATTTGGTGTAATGAAATGTGTTTATGTGGTTTAAGGTTCAAAAAACACATTATTTTCCACATACTGTATATTATTGTTTCTCCTCTATGCCCCGCCTTTCTGAAACGCGTCGATTTTTACAAAGCTCATCGGTCTGAAAAGCGAGGTGTGCTCTGATTGGCCAGCTATCCAGTGCGTTGTGATTGGCCGAATACCTCAAGCGTGTGACGGAAATGTTACGCTCCTTACCATACTGTGATGCCCTGTCCGGCCGGACCGTTTTACAGATCTTCTATATGCACCAAGAGCTTGTAACACTCCAAAGAGAAAGGGAAAAATTGAAACCGCATCATATGACCCCTTTAAATTCACCATTTATGGTCCACAGAAGAGTCTTAAAGGTGAATGTAAGTCAAATTTTTATTTTTGGGTAAAGCACCACTTCTCCACACAATATATATCTATAGACAATATAGATTCAAAATGTTGTTCATAACTGAAAGACTAGACATTGGTGTAGCAATGACACTTACAGGTGTGTAAGCACTCAGTGACTGTGGTGGCGTCGATCAGGTACCCCTCACACAGACGACAGGTGATGTGGGCATTGATGTCCCACAGTTTAATCTTCCTGGTTAACATCTCGGGGTTCTGGATGAGAAAGAAAGAAAAGAAAAAGACAGGTTAAAAGCATTTCACAACACACAAATCCACAATCCAAAAGTCAGGCTGAACAATCAGGGGTCAGGAGGGTGATCTCATAGGTAACTGGGTTCAACCCTATAACCCAACCATTAGCTTGCCTTCACCCATTACATCAAAACAAAGGTCAAAAGCAAGTGTTAGCTTAATTTAATGTTTTATGTAAAGTAATGTTTTTTCGTTTGGCTAAATCCTAGTCTCCACTTTAAAGACAAAGTATGTTGTTTGTTTAGAGATGTCCAATGTGAAGCAGCCAGACGACTATATTGACCAGACATGCTATTATCAACTGAAGTACAGTCCGTGTCAGGACACATGCTGCTCATATTCAATACAGATTAAACAGATTATTCACCACTCCAGTGGCCTTCTGGAAAGAAAATAATTAGATCTATGTTGCTTCGATATTTGTGATTCAGCTTTTAAGAAAAAAATGTGTTAGAATCAAGTGGGAATTTGCACAATATCATCCATTTAAATGTTGTGGTGAATGATCAGAGATTGTCTGAAATCCCTGTTTTAATATATGAATCAATTTTGATATCCATATTAAAGGGGTCATATTATTTCTAGTCGTGTCCTCTTTTGGAAGGCCAAACAAAGTAGTTTAGCTTTCACAACGAAACACACAGTGGCCTAGAGTATGCAGAGGCCGGCTTGAGTGAGCAGAGGCGGGCAGGCTTGAGAACGGCGCAGCCTGCGGATTTGATGAAGGAGCGTCCGGCGGGCTTGAGTGAGGAACGGTCAGCGGGCTTGCGGCAACCACATGTGACGACCCCGGGCTGGACTCCGCTTCGTCCACGGT